TGATGCAGACACAGGTGTGTGTGTCAGACGCCACAGCGAGAAACAAACACTTATAGATAAGTTGAGGGAGAGAGAGAACGGGGGGAAAGCGAGATAATGGTCATGTTTGAAAAATGAGCTCATGGTTCAGACATCCTGTGATGGAGTCAATAACATCCTGCTGCAGTGGAAATGACTCACTGCCAATTACTGCTCGGGTCAAATACACGTTCTGCAGAGGAACAGGAGAGAACCTGAACCTCTTGTGTCTGTGGTTCTAGATGCTGCGTCTGCAGAGTGGGGAGGATGCAATGCTGCGTCTGGACCAGCTGGAGGCGCTGTACTACGAGCTGCAGCTGCAGCTGTACGATATCCAGGCCGAGGTGCTGCGCTGTGAAGAGCTGCTGCTCACTGCTCAGCTGCAGAGTCTACGCAGGCAGATGACCGGTGAGCCTGAATCATATTGATCATATATTGATACGGGGGATTTATTGGCTGATAAGGAAGCAGCAGTACAGAAATATAATATAATATAATATAATATAATATAATATAAGATATGTTTGAGGTGACATTACATAGATTTTCACCAATTTAAGCTTTTACATCTTTATTATTTATTTGTGTTTAATATTGGTCAGATATTTCTTGAGCTCCACAAAACTGTAAATTAAATTAAAAAGTTTTTAAAAATGTCTACGTTCTACAAAGAGTCCATCAAGATGTTCAAATGCAGTCTGATCTTTATTTAATCTGGTGCCTTTTATTCAGCTGTAAGTTGTTCAGGAACCTTTCTGATGAATCTGTTGGTTGTCCCAGAGTGTCAGGATGAGGTGGTGTACTACGACGCCTTCGAGAGCCCCGACGCCATGAAGGGCGACCAAGACCTCGCCAGCCCGCCGTCCCCCCTCAGGAATGAAGAACTCGCCGTCCTCCAGCAGAGGACGCGGCAGCTCGAGGCTCGCCGGGGCCGCATCACTGCCAAGAAAGTCTACCTCAAAAACAAGAAGGTAAAAGTCTGACGGACGGACGGACGCGGCTGAAGACGCCGTCTGGTTTTTACGGAACGTCATTCGTCTGCTTTTTGTCCTGAACAGGAAATCTGTATCGTCAACCACAACCAGAAGATACAACAGCGACGAGGTAGCCATGGCGACGGCAGTTCCCTGCAAACGCTGCTGCAGGTAAGACTCGGACACAGTGAGCCGAGACGGAGGATTCAGTCTTCTACAGCTCCGTTACGTAACGTAAAGTTAGAACGAACCGATAATCAATAACCTTTGATCAATAACCTGCTTCCTCTCCTGTGAAGGGAGAAGCTGAGGAAGACGAAGGTAAGAGAAACGCCACAGTGAGTCAGGAGAGGAAAAGGACTCTGGACCGACTCCGCAGTCAGGTGAGAACTCCCGACCCCCGCCGTCGGCTCGCCTTTGACCTTTGACCCGATCCGTGTGTGTGACCCTTCTCCCCTTCTCCCCTCGCAGCGTTACCCGGGTCAGCTGACTCTGAAGTCCAGCCGTCTGCGTCTGAATCCGCCTCACAGCCGGCGGCGAGCGGCTCAGCAGCCGAGCACGCAGGCGGTCAGCGTTCAGACCGACTGCTCCGATCTCCCAGAACTCTCTGCTCCGCCCGACGGCTGCGTCTCCTTACCGACGGTTCAACTCCCAACTGTCGACTCTTCACCTCCCTTCCTCTCGCTGCCTCCCCTCTCAGCCTCCCCGTCTGTTCTCTCCCTCGCTCCTCCTCCTCCTCCTCCCCCGCCTCCTCCTCCACTTCCTCCCTCGGAGGAGCAGCAGGGCGAGGGGACGGAGACGGGCAGCCCGCTGCGGCATCAAACCTGCGAGTCCAAATGTTCCTCGCTGCCTCTGACTCGGTTCTCCCCTCGAGTGTTCGACAGCAGCCAGCTGCTGACGGCGAGGACGAAGCTGAAGAAGACGACCTCGCTGGACTCGGGGAGGAAAGGTGTAGTCCTTATTACTGGTTGAAAACTACAAATCCCAGAATTCAAAGCAGCAAACACTCGTTGAGATTTGATACCGATACTATTATTGATTCTTTGTGTGTTTTAATCATCAATGCAGCCGTTTTATTGAACACTAATCACAGTTATAGTAGTTACATTTAACTTATTAATGTTATATCTGATTGTGGTTATAAACTATCAACTAATAATGAACTGTTTTAACACAGACGTGATGAAAGTTAATGAATTAATTGGTTATTGATCCGTTTTATACTCATTAGTTTTGAGTTATTGGTGACACTTTCATACTTCTACGGTTATAATTGGTCTTAAATTCTTTAAAAAGTCACAAACTAACACTTGTGTCCGTCTGCAGCGAGCACCCCGATGGACGAGGTCCTGGCCACTCTAAAGCGGGGCAGTTTCCACCTGAGGAAGGCCGAGCTGCGGGTTCTGGCCCCCGACCCGGACGACGACAGCGACAACATCCTGGCTCAGATCCGCCAAGGCATCCGGCTGAAGAAGGTACGGACCCAACCGGAGCAGCGGCGCCAGGCCAAGAGCTTCCCCCACGCGGCCGACGCTCTGACCCGCAGCATCCACGAGGCGCTGAGGAGGATCAAAGAGGCGTCGCCGGAGTCGGAGTCCGAGGACGAAGGTCTTCCCTGCACTGACTGGGAGAACTAGCTCCTGTTTTACGTTAAAACTTCTTCTTTTACGAAGCCAAAACGAAGTCACGAGGACGAGCGAGGGTTAAAAATCACCGGAGAACAAAAACCCCTCGACTGTTTTTATACATGCAGAAGAAAACTGCTCAGAAGTGTTTTAGCTCTCCGTACTTCTGTCGGTAAAGACTCGTTTTTTTTAACGTTGTTGTTGTTGTTGCTGTGGCTTTGTTGGCGAGGAACGCAACCTCCGACCTCTCCGTGTCAGAGTCGTACTGTAGCTTTGCTGTGATGGGTTTGTTTTCTCTTCACTCAACACGTGTGTGTGACGACCTTTTGTACTGTACGTTGTAGAAGGTGTGTGTGTGTGTGTGTGTGTGTGCGCAGACTGTTGACCCTTCGTACGCCGCCAACAACTCTCCAGCTGCTCCTCTAAATGTGTTTATGTTGTTTATTTGTGTATTTAACAAATCAACCAGCCTGTTTTTATACAAAGAGTAAAATATGATACGACGACGACATCAAACCGTCATCGCTCAGAGGTTTTAGAGGGGAGGAGTTGTTGTTGTTGTTGTTGTTGTTGTGTGAGGTGAAAACAACAGTAGGTTAGTTATTGTAGCTCTGATTGGAGCAGCACTTTAAAACCCTTCGCGCCCAAACGAACTCACACCGACGACGACGCTCTCTCCGATATCCACTGCGGTTAAACGTCTATGAACCTTTTTTACTCTTTTTAGGTTCAATATTAAAGTAATTCAGAGAGATCAATATGTTTATGGATACACTGCAAACAGGAAGTGCTGATCAGTTATTCTAATAATAATAATAAAATAATAATAATGATAATAATGATAATAATAGTGACACAATCCATTAGTATGTGCTGTATTTGTTCTGCAGTGTTTAAAGAGGAGAAGAAGAAGCTCCAATAAACTC